AAAATCGAAACCAACTCAGCGTCACTTTCACAAGGAGAAAGTGCTGAACTACCAAAGTGTATTTAATACTAGGGATGTAACGGTATCAGAATTTCACGGTACGGTAATACCTCGGTATGAATGTCACGGTACGGTATTTATTGAATCATTTACAGGAAAAAACAAAACTTATAAAAATACTCCAAAAAAGTGCCAAAAGTGTCAATGACATACAAATTAGCCATCTATCTGTAAGCTTTGAAACAGGAACTTCAATTTTAATGACAAAAAATTATTAAACCATGTAAAAAATAAAGTTTCAATTTAGTATTGTTGAAAACTCATCACATTCAACATTTAATCACTCACTCACTTAGATAGAGATGGGTTTAAAGGAAAATTATCATATAAATATAATCTGGTAAAAGCTGGTATCTCTGGGTATTTACAATGTCCCCTGCAACAGAAAAAACCCCTCTCATTTGGGACTGAGGTTTCTGGGACAAGAGAGATATGACTTGGCCCAGGTTGACAGCAGTGGGTAACGTTGTGCATTGTCTTTCCCCCACTTGAGAGGACAAGCCATGAGTAAGATAGAGGTCTCATGTCTGCATCAATCTGAACAGTGTGCTGACAACACCGCTATTCAGTACGCGCGCGACAACACCGCTGATAAGAACTCACGCGACAACACAGCTGATAAGAACTCGCGCGACAACACAGCTGATAAGAACTCGCGCGACAACACAGCTGATAAGAACTCGCGCGACAACACCGCTATTCAGTACGCGCGCGACAACACAGCTGATAAGAACTCGCACGACAACACAGCTGATAAGAACGCGCGCGACAACACAGCTGATAAGAACTCACGCGACAACACAGCTGATAAGAACTCGCGCGACAACACCGCTATTCAGTACGCGCGCGACAACACAGCTGATAAGAACTCGCGCGACAACACCGCTATTCAGTACGCGCGCGACAACACAGCTGATAAGAACTCGCGCGACAACACAGCTGATAAGAACTCGCGCGACAACACCGCTATTCAGTACGCTCGCGGCGACAACACCCGCTTTAGAGTTTTACAGCTCTTTTTCATCCCCGCTTCTAGCAGCACACTCCATTTCCGCATTACTGGATCTGTAGCAACAACAGACCGCAAGGGATGATGGTCAAGCATGGGCTGATGGGAATTGTAGTTTTCGCTACCTCCCGTTCGCTTCATTCGCCTGAGCAAATTTTCTCAGAAGACCTATAGTTTTACCGAGTCATGCGACTTCGGTAATATCGAAAAAAATTAATATTGCGGTATGAGAGTATTTACAATACCGTTACATGCCTATTTAATACTTTATATAAAAGGCTTTTTTGGTGATGCAAGCTTAAAGACGCCTCTCACATAGAGAATGAAGTCATGTGCATTGCTCAGGTGTGAGTTTCTCACAGATTTCAACAGTGTCAAAATCTTTATGGTTCCGTGGGTCTCGTCTATCAAATCTGAGCTTTAGTTTGTATTTTCTGTAGGTGTCAGATGATTGGCTGGGCCATTCTACAGCTTGATTTTCTTTCTCTGAAAGCCTCAGAGAGTATCCTTGTCTGTGTTTTGGATCGTCACCTTGCTGAAATGTCCACTCTGGTATCATCTTTATCTTCCTGCTAATGTAGATGTTAGACTGAAGCAGCTGATATTCATGTAAACTGAGGAAGGGCAGAGAAGAACTACTGAGCGATTTCAGCTGCTGTCTGGGCTTTCACTGCCTTTCTACACCTCCCTTTCTTCATGTGTTCAATACTTTTTTTCCCTGCATCATTTCATTTTATTACACATGACTTATTTTTTAAACTACTTAGATTAGTTTTCTTTCCATTTATAGATTTCTTTGGTTGCTATTAAGATCTGGCGAAAACTGCTAGTCGACAGCACCTTTAGAAATAGGTTTTCTGAGAAAGATGGTGACGTGTTCAATCCTTATTTTTCCTGCTGTATATAGGCTACTAAAGTGAATGATTTGGCAGAAGCTGGCCCTGAAAACACGATTTTCTGAGCATATGTGTCTGTGTATGTTGATGTAGAGCGTAACAGATGGCGTGTGTGATCAGTGTTAAATCACTCGGTCACTTCATGCTGTGGCCCACAGGAGATATGAAGAGTGAGATCAAACTAGCCTACATTCAACACCGCAGCTATTACAGTAAAAAAGGCTATATGTAAGAGAGCATTAATCACCGATTAAATGCTTTATTATTGTGTCAGCCTATTGTAATGGTAAAAATAAAACCTTTCAAAAGCATGTGAGGTTTATGAGCACTCCAGAGAGCCTCTTAGCTGTTTTATGGCACTTGCAATGAATGCGTATAATGTTCAGGATAATGCAGAGAGACATTCTGTACTGTAATGACAATAGCCCCTTTCACACATACAGAACTTTCCAGGAAAATTACCGGCAATTTTCCGGAAAGATCTGTATGTGTGAAAATGCCGGTAAATTCGTTCAGACTTTTTTCCAGAAAGAGAAGTTGTAACATTACCGGTAATTTGCTTCGCTGTGTGAACGCAGAAGAAAGATTGCCAGAAAAAGCGCGTTCACGTCTAGAACGTGCTGACGTGAGACGTTTAGCCAATCAGAACACTCACGCATTCACATCCACACTGTTTATGAAAATAAAAGCCTGTGAATATTTTTTCAGACACATTCAGCTGCTAGATGGTAGTCAGATAACATTTCCTTCTTAAAGCCAACTGTGTAAATAAATATCGATAAGATGCTTATGATAAGCCGATAAGCCACACACACACACACACACACACACACACACACACACACACACACACACACACACACACACACACACACACACACACACACACACACACACACACACACACACACACACACACATTATGTACATCTCGACATGTGAAATTGTGCCTGCATATGTTTTCATCGAAGTTGTTCACAATACTTATCCATCCACAGAGTTTTTAATGTAATCAAATGTTTACAAATATAAGCGCTGCCGTTTAGAGCTCATTTCTGGTTAACGATGTCAGAATTTACCGTTATTTTGGAATGGATGTGTGAACGGTCTTTTCCGGAAAAAACCCATAATGCCCTCGCCTGTGTAAACAGCGTTTTTTATTTTTTATTTTATTTACCAGTAAAGTTGTTCCGGAAATTTTCCGGATATTTACCGGCATCACTGTGTGAAAGGGGCTTATGTCATGAAAAAAAAGGATTAAATACATTTTTTTCAACACATTTTTAAACATAATAAATAGTATCTAATAACTAATTAATTTGGTCTCTGTGATAATGACAGTACATAATATTTTAGCAATTATTCTTCAAGTGTTCAGCTTAAAGTGCAATTTATAGGCTTAACTAGGTTAATTAGTTTAACTGGGCAAGTTAGGGAATATATATATTTAGTGAAAATTATAATTTCCTAAAGGGGCTAATAATATTGACTTTAAAAATTACAACTACTTTTACTCCAGCCAAACTAAAAGAAGTAAGACTTTCTTTAGAAGAAAACATATTATAGGAAATACTGTGAAAAATTCCTTGCTCCATTAAACATCAATTGGGAAACATTCATAAGATTTAATAACAAATAATTCACAAGCGGGTTAATAATTTTGATTGCAACCCACACACAGTATACTGTTTCAGATATACACTACCTGAATTCAAGTTTTAGGAACAACAAATAATACCTTGACTTCTAGTTGATCATTTGGTATCAGAAGTGGCTTATATGAAAGGCAAAGGCCTCTAAATTATGCTTATTTTACCCAAATAAAATATGATCATGCCTTGATTTAATTATTGACTTAGGACAGTAAGGTCTGACTTTGCTAAGATAAAAGTCTTGTCATTAGAAATAATGTCCAGTATAGAATATAAAGTCCTGCTGCAGTGGAAACAGAATGAATATTGTGTCTGACTCCATCATGAGCTTGGAGGACTGCATCAATACATCTCTGCAATGACTCAAATCACTGATTAATAAAGTCATCTGGAATGGCAGAGAAAGCATTCCTGGAGGACTCCCAGAGTTCATCAAGAGTCTTTGAATTCATCTTAAATGCCTCCTCCATCATACATGCTCAATAATGTTCATGTCTGGTGACTGGGCTGGCCAATCCTGGAGCACCTTGACCTTCTTTGCTTTCAGGAGCTTTGATGTGGAGGCTGAAGTATGAGAAGGGGCACTATCCTGCTAAAGAGTTTGCCCTCTCCTGTGGTTTGTAATGTAATGGGCAGCACAAATGTCTTGATACCTCAGGCTGATGATGTTGATCATCCACTCTGCAGATCTCTTGCTTGCCCCAATACTGAATGTAACCCCAAACCATGATTTCTCCTTCACCAAACTTGACTGATTTCTGTGAGAATCTTGGGTCCATGTGGGTTCCAGAAGGTCTTCTGCAGTATTTGGGATGATTGGGATGCAGTTTAACACATGATTAATCAGAAAAATCCACCTTCTGACACTTTTACAACTGGGATCGATGACAAGACTATTGTCAGGTTGTTTATAATCAGTCAGTCAGAGAGTTCAGATGCCAAACTAAGGATTTGCAAACTGTGTTGCACACATTTATTAATATATCAGTTTGATATATATATATATATATATATATATATATATATATATATATATATATATATATATATATATATATATATATATATATATATATATATATATATATATATATATATATATATATATATATATATATATATATATATATATATATATATATATATATATATATATATATATATATATATATATATATATATATATATATATATATATATATATATATATATATATATATATATATATATATATATATATATATATATATATATATATA